TTTGACAAATTCAGTATGTAAACTGCAATTAGAAAGTCAATGACAAACTCAATGTTAGCTTTTCAAGAATATTGAAAACCGCAAAATGACTTCAGTAAAATCTATATGATTTGCACTAAAGCTCCTATATGACCCTGAATGGTATTGACTGATCTTGTTAGCGTTTGTGTGACCCTTTGACACAATCCTCGCAGCGCTTGATAGCCACAGAGAGAATCTCACACATTCCTCATCTTAACTGATAGATTTACTAGAAAGTCTCGATGTGATTTCTTCCTAGTTCTGAATTATGTGACAGCCGTTAGATGAGATTCTGTCTGGTGGATGTTCAACACGTCCGAGTACCGAGGGGTACGAGAATCTCAGGCGTACTGCTGTGTCGTGAGTCCAGACAGCAAAAAAGTTATCACATGATCAGTAGGTCCAAAGAGGAACTATTGCATACTAATCGTGTGTGGTAATTAGTGAATAACTCATGGACAGGATAGGTCTTTCAATGGGTTCAGATACTCATTACATATGAGACTGGAGTGGAAGACTAGAGGGCTGTATTTGCCTTCCGTTTACGACGCTCAGTTGATTCATTTTGTAGGCGTGGAGCTGGAGTTATTTAAGAACTCAACAATGAATTAAACAACTCGATAAAACTTGACCCAGCGGGAATTTTTTTAAGTGAAATTATTTGATGAGTTCAATAGATTCAATATTTCCTGAACAGAAGTATAATATTCCATTCACCTTTTCGACGGATTAATTTCGAGGTGAGCAATTCTAGCTTCACTGGCGACACGATTGTGTGACGTCATTCAACCCATTAAATTTTGTAAACATTATCTTCGGGCTGTTCGAACCAGTCGTACCGCCATGTTTGCGTCCTTGGCGAGACATTTTACCCTAATTGCCGTGTGTGAAATGGAACGGGCCTCCCGCATGTTGTTCAGTGATGTAGCCATCACCTACTTCAAAAGGTCTTTGCTTGAAAATGGCCTTAACTTGTTCACTGTGAAATAGACTTAAAAAGCAAACAAACAAAACTAAACCAGTTCTGTTTAACATGAATAAACAATATCACTAGAAAAAAATGTATGATGTTACGATTTGTATTTAACGAACCTGATATATGGAGGTGGTCTGAAGGTCTGTATCGGATGTAGGATAGTCACGATTATATCCGTGAGTTTTATACAAGTGCAATTATCCGTCCAGAATTGGCTTGATAGGTGTTACAATATGTCGGCCAGTTAGAGGGACCGATGTTACACGTAATAGCTAGACCTGTGTGTGGTTCTCGTTACTGGCACGCTAAAAACAGTAAGATGAAAGAATTGATGAAAGTATTTAAAATTAACGATAGTTCTTATTTATTAAAAACTTTCTTTTTAATTGGAAATACCAACGTGATGTCAGAATGACGTTCGAATCTTGTCAGAAATGGGTAACCGCAGAATTTATCCGTAAAACGTACGCGTCTGTCCTCGGGACATAGCACACTCACTAAAAGAGATTGCGCGTTCACAAAAAAATTCACGTGGTGCTCTCCGGAAAGATAAAAACTTACGTTTTTCGTGAACCAAGGTCATTTTTCGGAGTCAAGGTCACTCGATATAGTATGGAACATACTTGGAGCCTTTATGTTGCATACCATCAAATAAATATTAAGTTATCCTAGTCTCGTTAATCTGATTTTCGATCATCCGGACGTAAATGATAGCCACATTCCTGCTGTTGGTTTCGAAACAATATAACGGACTAAGATACTTAGTCCAAAAATATTATTCCATATTCATTTACGACCTCGATTTAATTCACACTCGTTCTACAGTACACTGGAGGTCAGAGAGTGAGTTTGATGGCGTCTACAGCGCCACTACCTACTGTATGTTTTTGTATTACGTATTAGATACACACAAAATGAAAATGGAATTTTTTTTGGTTTTTTGCTGCTCTTTGAAATTAATCACTTTGTTTATAAAACGACAAGATATTTAGTTCTCAATTTCGTTCCGTCTCTAATGACCTCGATGTTAAGATCAGTCGGATTCATGGAGGTGTGGTATTGAGAAGACTTTCATGTCGGTCTCCTAATCCAAGTGTGAGTTATTACCTATATAAACCATTCTTACGATAATGTATATAAGTTAACACCTGTGGACTGTAAAAAGGTGATTAATTAATTGTTTTATTTTGATGTCTATATAACACCTGTGTTAGTCTTGTTCCTGTGTATTTAAATCTACATGTTTTATGTTAATGAGACACGGACGTGACATTTTTTCTTTTGTCCTAACAATGGTAGTAAACATGAGGTCTAAGCATTTATCATACGTTGTAGATGTCGTTCTCGGGTAAAACAGTAGTATCTCTAATGCTATCGTCTATTATATAATCCGAAAAATTGTTAAAAATCCAGCAAATTTAAGCAAAGAGATAAAATTAATGAATGAAGAAAGAATAATAAATAAATAAATATTATACTTTTTATCGTTTCCTAAGGTCAATGAGTGCAGATCACAAGCCTGATGTTTTTTATTTTTATTTTGAAACATGTGGTTTCCAGAGAGGATAAATTATTTCTTAAACTTTGAAGTCTAATACGATCCTTAAAATAGCAGAAGCGGTTTGATACTTTTTAAGAATGAAACGTTAAAGTACATAATCAAACTACGGTCTGTATTTTTTTTTCCAAAATCCCTAAGATAGTTCTCGGCTTGAGTCCCTTTAAAAAAGCCTGAAACCTCTGGTTGTAGTATTACGAATTTTAACCGGCGTGAGAGACAGATGTTTACAGTCTTCCGCGGTATACTGTAGATTAAAACAGATCCTTGGCATAAATTATTCAAATTATCTCAGATCAGCAGACCTTGTCATATCAGTACCTGACAGTTATTCAATTACGACTTCCGTACCAGTATTGCACATGCGCACTTTCCATAGTTGTTCTATTTCAATATTTTTTCTCAAAAATCCCCGCGAAATGGACCTAAGGTGAAATCTGCTGTTGGTGTCTAGTTCACACAAATTTAAGAATTCTGTTCACTGCATTATTTAATGATTTACATATTGTCCATTAATTAACTAAAGATTATCTTCAAATTTATATACAGTGCAATTTCGGAAGGACTCTTAGTAAATATATGGTTAACAAGGAAGGTTACATTTCCTGTTTGTTTAAGTGAAGAAACCATTTGTTATATTATTTATGTTTGATTCGAAATGATACCACGTAAACAGGCTTGTAAATTGCAGCAAGAAAACATCCCAACATCCAGTTGTTAACGAAAGTGCTAACAATGTATAATACAGGTAAACAGAAAGTGAAAGTTGTTGCAAAATTCAAATTGGCAAATTGAGAAGAAGTTCGCGAGACCGGTTTTAGGAAATTAAGGCAAAAGTTTCAAATAAATGTCGGCGGTGCAGCATCCTGATAGTCACTCTGTGTCTGCTCTGACCACTGTAACATACATAACTTCGCTGTTGCACAGAAATTAACTTAACATACGGTAATTAGGAAGATAGGTGTCAATAAATCATCAGTAGTGTTTTTCTACAAAACGTTATTGTTTAGATATCTGTGTGAAAATATAATTATTCTTAAACTCTTGGCATTTGACGAACACACCAATAATGCGTTATTTTAAAGAAAGTTATGTATACTTGTATATAGCGTAAAAAATACTATGTGCGCGTGTGAATGTGTGGTTGTGTGTGCGTGTGTGTGTGAACGTGTGTTTATGTGTGCTTGTCCATGTATATCCGTGTTTATGTCTCGGTGTTGGTCTGTAAGTACGTGTGAATGTGTGTTTCTTTCCTTTCAACATTGTTCGAATTGTTTTTACATATTTTCCCTATAAGTCTGTAACTCTTCATCATTTGAAGAAATTAAGGAAGTGAAAAAAGTGATATGTTGTACAGACGTAGAGGTAACAGGAACAACGGCATTATAATATATATCCCTGTAAATGTCCAGCTCGCCCTAAACACGTTTCTCGGACACTGGTCAAGCCCATCTCATTCCAAAGGCGTAGCAAGACGAAAGTCGTGTAGAGCTATTTGTTAACCAAATAAATATCACAAGATTCAATTACACTGTTAAGGGCAAACATTTTTGTCAGGAGAAAATGAGATTGACCATTAATTGACTTTCTAAATTATCAGCTAGGCACGCCTTATTAACTCAATGGTCATTTCACGCCTAGACTGACCAGGTGCGGACAAAGGCAGATGTTTCACCTGTCCATTTTGACAAAACCCAACAAGAAAACAAACAGGTATTAAATATCACCTTGCTACGCTAACCGCTGGTGTTACAGATGTCTGCACTGATGCTTGGCCTTCTCAAAGATATGTTCCCGCTGGTCATTTGACTAAACTTGACCAACACGGGATCTCGAGTATTGTACGATTTAACAATTAGCTTTTAATCTAATTTTGTGTGCAGTGGTACAGTTTCGGACCGACATTCCGGACAATAATAATCGTAATAACAGGTTTTCCGTTTGTTAATTTTGAACTCACACAGGGCAGATGGTGCACTTTACACGGAAGGAAATTACAATGTAGATGCAAATCCTCGTATTCATGGAAAAGGTCATATAAATGCTTTGAAAAAATTAAACTTCAATTATTTTGTGTTATTTGTCCTACTGTGTTAATGTAAATCGTGGTAATTTTCTCAAATTTTAGCACGTGCTTACTTCCCGGTAAGTCTTACATCAAGAACCAGGGATTCGTTATGAATATAGTGTAATCCCCCTTACTCTCCTCACTGCCCCTGTTCTACACATTGATTCCATAGAAAAGTGCTATCGAAATTTCGCTACATTACCTTAAACCAACTCAAAATGACATACCTATGACCAGAACAGGTGTCAATATTTGGACAAGTTTTAAACGCGATGATACCTCACTTGGTATGTTAAAAACTCATTCATTGTAAAATAGCATTGTTGCCTTTTAAATCCGTGTTTACAATGATTTTACGAATTGATTTACAAGAATGTATGGCCTCAGGTTAGTCAGAATACATGCCGGTACAGCCATCTCCTTGCTATACCTTTAGCTTGTCGTAATCACTTCTAGCTATCGTGTAACAGGGGATAGAGATATACCAAGAGTTGGTACAAAAATGTCTTTATCAATCATATTTATCAAAATGCTCCGATTTCCAATTCAATAAACTGTCTTCGTATACCTAGCGGGTCCTCAGTAAAAGGGAGTTTGAGTCACTGTCAGTCAGTGACCGCCATATATTGAGGTCTTGTGAATATAAGGGAGTTTGAGTCACTGTCAGTCAGTGACTGCTATGTATTGAGTTCTTGTGATTATAAGAAAGTTTGAGTCACTGTCAATCAGTGACCGCCGTGTACTAAGTTTTTGTGAGTATTAAGGAGTTTGGGTCACTGGTCGTCAATGACCGCCATGTATTGAGTTCTTTTGAGTATAAGGAAGTTTGAGTCATCGTCAGTCAGTGACCGCCATGTATCGAGTTCTTGTGAGTATAAGGGAGTTTGAGTCACTGTCAGTCAGTGACTGCAATGTATTGAGTTTTTGTGAGTGTAAGGGAGTTTGAGTCACTGTCAGTCAGTTACCGCCATGCATTGAGTTTTTGTGAGTTTTAAGGAGTGTGAGTCACTGTCAGTCAGTTACCGCTATATAAGGGGGTTTGAGTCACTGTCAGTCAGTGACCGCCATATAAGAGTGTTTGAGTCACTGAGTCTTTACGGTGTAATTTTGAGTCTCTTTAAATAAAGTACAAATTTCTAATTCAGAAGTCATTGCGATTTAGAAAAAAAATGTTAACGAAAGTGCTAACATTCTCTGCTGTGGGTCAGGAATTTAAATTATGGGGTAGAGAGAGGTCACAGAAATTACCTGTCGACCTCAGGACCTTGGTCTCTAATTACATGTGTGCTCGTGAGCAGGTACATGTCATTTTGATGGATATACAGGTAAACCCTCCCCTCGGTGTTATAGGCAGCAATCATCACAGACTTACGGTCCTGTCTTCTGCCGAGGAAAAGTCTTTTGGCCCTGGTTTTCAATATATCTTTATACAATTATGATATTACACTAATTAATTCTGACGTGCATTTACACGTGAGTTGTTCTTAAAGTACACGTTCTTATTTGGTATACGTCTGAACATATGTCTGTCAAACGTTTTCTTCTATATTTCAAACATTAAAAATAACAGTACATGTTCATCAATTAACACAGTAATAAGTACTTATCGCTGAAAATTCATATTTCATTCCTTACACTATACATAAGATGACGTCACAGCCTCTTCACGTGAAAACGAGGCTACAATTTTTCACTAATATTCAATCAACGTTGAATGTTTGTTTCAATATAAATTTACTCTTACAAATCCTCATGTATATTATGGTACGGAATAGATACGTCAGCATTTGGCAAACCTCGTTTGTTTTGAGGATTTATCTGAAAAATACATAAATTCATTGTAATCTGAAAAATACATACACTCATTGAATGGACCTAAAGAAAAACTACATCCATTCAATAACCGAAAACCACTTTTTCAAATAAATCAATTAATTAATTAATAAATAGATAAAACAAGAAAAAAATGATTAAAGTCAAAATGGTATATTAACTTAATTTAGTATATAGAAAATGTCACAGGAGGGTCACCATAGTATATTTGTTAGGTCAGAGGAAAATTGTCTGTTTTTGTGCAGGTGTTTGTACCTAATAAAGGTGTGTATTTTGGTAAGTTATTGTGACAAATGACAATATTCACACAAAAACATGCCAGCCGATCCATGACTGATGCCTGATGATGGAGGACATGTACACTTGATTAAGAGCCAACATTTTAAAAATACACACATAAAATGTATTATTATCGAGGTAACTGTAATTGATGTGACTAACATCCTTTGTTTACGTAAAGTCATTGTTTAAATTCAGGTCATCTTAACAGTGAAATCGGTTAATAGTTTTCACTATGAATACAAATTACATAAAATGAAATAACATTTTTTGATACCATTTATCTGATTTTTTAGGACTTTTTGATTTCATAATAACATTGGTTATACTTTATACTTATTGTGAAATCAATGTGTCTTCAGGACAACACTAAAACCTCGACTCACCGAAACATCAGTAGATATGGAAAGTTGCGATGTAATTCTAAAATGACCAACTGAAACGATACAAAACAAATAAACAAACAAACAAAAACAAAAAAATTTCTTCATCTAAATACCGTTTCGTTTGAAGATAAATCGATTGCTATGACGAGTCAGTAATAATGTATTAATGTATTCGAACGCACCCTTTACTTCAAGAATGGACACATTTAGTGGGCCGTATTTGCTAGCAAGTTAAACAATTTCAATCTCAGACCCTAGTTATTGAAGTCCTAGTCAAACAACTGCATTCATAATTATGTGCAATGAGGATGACGTCATACTTCATAACATTTCCTTACTTTAAAGTGTTACCTACAACGACTTTTAGATGAGAGATAATTTTTATTAAAATTGTTTAAAATCGAGCCTAATTGATTCTTTTTTTATTGATTATTCTTCTTTTAAATTTTCAGGTGATATACAGAAGTGCGATAACGAAGGCGAGGCTGTATACGTACCACAAATATCGGACAACCCTTGTATCACGTGCTTCTGTCGGGTAAGTACACTTAAACGTTGGCCACACACGCACGTGACCATTTACACTTAACCCTGCTACTGGATAGAACAAACCAAATTAATTATTCCATTCTGAAGAATGACACACAACATACACATTCAAAAAAGGAAAAGCAAAAAGCTGTGCAAAAAATATCGTGATCTATTTCTCTATATGTTATTTTGGAGCCTTTCCTGTACAGGTACTTACCTACTCGTCATATCTCGACTGATTCCGTAACGATATTGATAGAGTACCGGAATCAGCCGAAGTTAGCCGAATTTTTACCTACCACGCCTCTCTTAAGATATAGATCTGGCGAATTTTACATATTGTATCAATGCAACAAAGGGAATTAGTTATCTAAATGCCTCCTCTAGTGTTCAAATTGCTTGTGAAAGTAACGCTACGATTAATCCTGAGTTCCTACATGGATGCCATTGTAACAGACGTCATTATTTATTTCAATGTTGCCTCAAGGATTCAAATCCGGGACCCCTGCCTTACTATTCTGACACTCCACCGATCAAGCTAAAGAGCAGCACTCTATAACGGAGTGGTGTGCTGCTGCTCATATTTTACCAGGATTACATAAGTAATATTCAAATTCCTGGATGAGCATAACTAAGAAGAAAAAAGGGGTTGAGGTTTGGGGGTGGGGGATGGGGATGGCCCGAATGGAAACGCGCGGGGGATATTACTATTGTAGGAAACCCAGAGCACCCGGGGAAAACAGACGTGGTCGGGCTGGTGACCCCTTACCTTTTCGCGTCACGGGAATCGAACCCCGGACGGCTTTGTGAAAGGCGAGTGGGTAACGGCTGCACCACCTGACCTCCCAACTGATTAAAGTAAGACGTTTATACTAGTGTTTTCCGGTTAATAATAGAGACTGGCTTACACGAAATTACGTAAACTGTATACATGATAACCTAACACACACACATACACCCTCCCCCATCCCCCCTCATCCTTTCTCTCTCTTACCGTGTAATTATAAATGTCATTTTGTATGTATTGTCATTACAACAAGGGCTTAACATAAGTTGGGAAACTTGTGCGCAATCCCATTGTAATTGTTACAATAAAAATGTGTTTAAATCAAAAATGATTCTGAAAAGGATCGTATGTGGAAATGATCGATTTATGATCGATTTGTACACACACTCAGACAAAGAACTTTAACAAATTGTGTTTTATTTGAGCCCATTATGTCCAATTATCTCACATCACCAATAAATTGAAGGTCTATAAATGATAACGGAGTCGGTAAAACCCTTCCCTGTCGCTCAGTATTCAATAAATTCTATTTCTTCTTATATAAGTTTATAAACTTATCAGATCACCTGCCGACAATTTATTGAGCCACAAGACAGGACTCCTGCCCCTGACTGTAATAAAATAGTCTCCAGACTTAGTTCACCTGAAGGCGTCACTTTCACCGGTAACTTGTACTCAGTCTAGTTATCATCAATGAAAACTTTAAACATACGAAAAATTCTAACAAAAAAAAATATCCTTATATACCAGGTCTGTGTTTGTTGACTGGGATTTATTTTTTAATCGTGTTGTTTATTTTCTTATCAATGTCAGTAAAGAAATTAACCTGTTGTTTGTTTAGAACTCGGTGCCTACCCTACTCTGTTTTTATAGCATAAAATTATTAGTTTATAGTCGTCTACAGTTAAGGTCATACACAAGGTACACAAACCTGACTGAAATACGTGTGATGATTTTGTTTGACAGATATGCGTTCGTAAACTTTTACACATTACTAATTTTAGCCTTGTAGGTATAAGGAGAGGGTATAATTTCTATCAAAAAGGAAAGCGTAGTAGCATTGAAAGTCACGCTATGCACACCCAGTACATCATATATTTACCTCTCAGAAAAGCGCTACATTTTATAACTAAGTAGCTTAGTGTAATAAATACCCAACTCGTGTTGATGTACTTTTCGTAATCTTTTTACAAACTTTTTAAATTATCATTATTAGTATTATGGAAGATAATTACATAATTTCTACCGAAAGGAGAGGCTTAATAACATGAAAGACTTCTACATTCTGAACATCCAGTCCATCGAGTATTCCCTGAAAAACGCTGAATTTTTTAGCCAATTCCGTGTATATCTGTCTTTTGATTTCCGAAATCCATAACAATCACGTTTATTTAATAAAATGTTTTCTCCGTGAAGCTCGCGATATCAAGGAAATTATTAATTCACTCAGTTTCTGCTTTCCCATCGTTTATATGGGGTCTCCCTCACAGTTAGTAAAAATTTTAAGGCAACTCAACATTTTATCTCCAAAAATAAAAGAAACAAACAGTTGCATCAAACACTTTGATTTTGAAATAATTTTTATTTTGAGATCTGAATTTACATTCTTTAAAATCATTATCATGGCCAATAAGTGAACGACTTCTTTATGTCAAGAAGTACCTTTTTAAAACAAGCCTTGTTCATTACCACTCGTGATTATACAAAGACTGACAGGTAGTATTGTAACACCGGTATCAAGCTTTTTTACAATGCTTCAAGCTTTTTTTAGACTCAGCATTTCGGGCGTTATTGTGACGTCATAGTAAGCAATGTAATGACGTCACAACTGCATGACAAAGTCATAACCTGATCATTTCTAAAAGTTCACACTTAATGAAAACAATTTTTCATTCATCGGACGTTTTTGATATGCTGTCAATATTTTTTTCTCTTTTTTATCTTTAAAATAAACAACAGCAAATAGTTTCATATTGACTTTTTGTATATTAGGTCTTAGAGAACATATATATATATTAAACAAAATGGCGGTTTCTAAATTAAAGTTTTGTCGACAATTTTGAAAATTATGGGTAAATTTTGACACGATTATTTACAACACCACAAGGATGATCTTTTGTTCCTCCACATCAAACAGATTCCTTCACGTTTAACGTCTTAGTGTGAAGTTTAAGTCATATTGTATCTGAGGGGTGTGGGAACCACTAACACTATACACGGTACATTTTAAAATGCGGATTTTTTTTTTCCGGAAAAATTGTAACATTATTTTTTTTCCATTTTGTTGGTTTCTCAATATCCACGAATAAAATATATTTACTCAACTGGCTTCTATCTGTTATTACGGTACTTATAGCAGACGAACTATAAGTCACATATATGTTTGGTGATGTTTAAGAACGCCTGATATCGGGTTGTTTCACACTAAAAGCTGCCCATGCTTCTACAAACCTACTTAGGTCTTCACTTTAAATTCATTTTGACAAGGTCCTGATAACAAACAAAAATAACAATAAAAGTCAAAACACCAGAATGAAAGTGCTGCCTCCGGTACAGGATGAATGTCGAGATCGTGATCTTTCCATTTGACACAAGGTCACGTGATATATATTCCTATGTATATCTATATTGATTAGGTTACTATATTTATTAAAGAAATCTTATTTCTGTATAAGTAATAAAAACATAATATTTTAAGTTTTCTGTGATCATGAACACGATTTACTTTGTTATAATTAATTTCAAATACCACTTTTTAAGGTAAACGCATGTTATTAGAATTCAATTTGAAAATATTCCAGTTGAACGAAAAAAATAAGCGAATAAACGTGACATAGAATTATAAAATAGATATTGATTCATCTGAGGAATTCTTTGTGCTGTCTTATTTCCTTAAAATGTACATTTCATTAAGTTCGAGCAGGCAACTGTCCTGCATAGTGAAAGCAAAATTACTCGGCACAAGAACTATTGTGTTTCTTTCCATACATACAGTTTACACACTGAACGCAAAATTACTCGGCACAAGAACTACTAGTAGCTTTTCCTTCCATGCGTACAGTTTACACACTGAACGCAAAATTACTCGGCACAAGAACTATTGTGTTTCCTTCCATACATACAGTTTACACACTGAACGCAAAAATACTCAGCACAGGAACTATTGCGTTTCCTTCTTCATGTACATTTCTACATACTGAGTGCAAAATTACTCGACACACCAACTATTGTGTCCCCACATACATTAAAGGATTGGAAACAGACATCATACTTACTTATTCTCCTCTTTTTTCCCTGACATTTTCATTCTGATTTTCAGCTATGACATATTTCTTGTTAAAGCCATTTTTTGCTACTACGTTACTTACTAACAGGGCGTCCTGCAAAAACAAACAAACGTATATATTGTCAATGTCCTACGGGAGAATGTAAAAGGACAACAATGCGACGATTTAACTTGGTTATAATAAATTGACGTGACGTTAACTAAGTATCATTGAATGGGTTTTTTTCGTAATCTTTTAAGTCGACGCCTTTTATAATTAGTTGGGTTTGAAGTTGGTTCCAAAATCAAAATTTATTTCAGTTTTCGGTTCCATGATACAAATTATCCTTGTTTCTGTTATAAGTCACTTACAGTTTTTTTTTAATATTTTGTCAAATTTTGATAAACAAAGAGTGCACAGCACGGTTGGTAAACCAGTTCGTTAACGTTTATAGAATTCGCTTATTGAGAAACGATTTGTCAATATCGCACCAAGTTAAAATAACGACTTTTGTCTGAAACAAGTTGTCCATTTTTATTATAATGTTGAAAAATGTAATAGTATAAAAGGCTATTTAACGGTTTCCCGTTTACTATCATAAAAATATTATCATATTTCATGAATATAACAGAATGTCTATTTTTTCACGAGTGCGAAGCACGAAAGATATATATATATATATATATATATATATATATTCTTTCATGCTTACGAGTGACATATGAATGATATTTAATAGGAAACCATTTTTTTTCTTTTCTCTACGATTTTATCTGGTAAGAACAACATACAAACGTGTTTTATATATTTAATCAGAGAAAAACAGAAAACTAACTCATTCAACATTCTTTTTATTTCCGTCAGAACAGGAAAGAAAATCGACACATTTCTGTATTTCACTGGCAAACATGTAATAAAATGCGTCTCTATCTAGAAAAAGTAAACTTGTAAAGT